TCTAGAGTTTCGGAGGATGCCGCTTTTCATTATGCCTTAAAAATTGTGGATATGTATAGGGTATGTTCGATAGTGGGTCATCGCTGAAGGAGGTCAACAGTAAGTCAATTATAGAGTTGGTAAATTTCTAGTTGCAAATTAAGTTTATGTGTACATATATATGTATATCTATATATATATGTAAATATCCACTGTGAAATTCAAAATAATATTCTTGGATATTTTAATTAATAATGAGTCGATACTCACGAATATGTACTCCAAATGTCGGTTCTCTAGCTGGAATACCGTCGAAATGACTTCACAGACAGAAGGACATTGGACGGACGATTTCACTTGAATGCCCATGGGAAGCAAAGCAAAAGTTGTGCATTTATTAGTCTCAGTTGTCGATTGTCCTCGACTCATTTACAGTTAAATATACAGCTATTCATATGACTATATACTGTACATGTACATACATGTATACTATGCTATGCATAGTATTCCTTTTAGTGACTGCAGCTTCACCCATAGTTATTTAGCTCATTTGCATGCAAATGCTCCTCATATTATTACTCAATGTGCCGTATATTGCACATAGCTACTATTTGTGTGCATGATGCAAGCAGCTATCGCTTTAAATGTGCCTTAGCCGTTGGCCAAGCCACCCACATTTGAGAAAATGCTAAAGCAATTAGTTAAATAGGCAAGGCCTCTATGAAATATTACGCATACGACGCGTTCTACCTATCAAGTGCTGCCCACTTTGCAACTGTTTATTGACCAGAAGTAAACACACACGCACACACACATACACAGACATGGCTTGATTGGTAGCTGAGTCCAGGCTCACTTTGTAGGCCAATATAGCATCGACCTCATTCACATGTTGGGCGGTCAGGTATGCAAGCGCAAGCATGCTTGCGCAAGCCTGCCGCCAGCCATGCCTGTGCACACACACACACACACACAGGCAAAATAAAACGAAATATCAAGAAAAAGCACAAACACTCCCAAAATAAGCGACTAGCAAATACCCTGTCCAGCAGGCAGAGCCACTGAAGCCACGCCCCGCAGCCTCACAGTCTAGCTGAAGTTTGTAGCTTATGGATTTTAGCTGGAAAACTTGGCAAGGTTTCGCATTATCATCTAGCTGCACTTCCTTAAGCTGCAAACTAAACTCAACTTTTGCTTTATGCTCTCGAACAATTCACTCGCACACAGACAGAGAGTCGTATGTATGTATATGGGGTAAATTCTTGTGGGTGTTGTTGGCCCTCCGCAAAATGCCTTTGAGCTGATGTATTTTATATAATGTCATAAGAATTTCAATTTTGTAAGTTGTCGCAGCGTATGTTACTTTCATAACCAGCCAGCCACCCACTTATGTAAGCCAAAGGCAGCTGAGCACACTTGGCGAGAGAGAGAGAGACAGAGTGAGAGTGAGATAGAGCTTAGCTGCTACAAATAGCTTTGATTATTAAATGGGCCGTTTACGAGGAATGACTGCGTATCAATTAGCGGCCCAGGGGAGCCTCAGCTCAGCTGTGCAGGAAAGCGCGAATGTCACTCCAGTCAACGGAGAGTAATGCGACACGCTCAGTCAAGGTGCGCGCCGTGCCGACACCTGGGCTGGCAGGTGCTAAGCCCAGACAGCCAGACAGCGAGACAGCCAGACAGCGAGACAGCGTCGATTTGGGTCACTTGGCAGCTGCGACAGAGCGGAATTCATATCCGCGTTGAGCGATTCACTTTTTCCTTATGCAAGTAGATATTCGATTTGCTGAAGATGCCAACCTACTGAGAGCCTGAAGAAAATACGTTTACTTATATAGAGAGGGCTGCTCCAGCAGTTATCAAGCACTGGTTAGACGTGATTATTGCTTTTTGTATACCAATTGAAAGCACATTTATGAAGGGGTAGTATAAGAGGCGCAGAAAATCAACATTAATGGACAATAAATTATCAGACTATCTTTGCTCTTCATTTTCTTATTTTCTCTAACTTTCTTTTCTTCTCTATAAGTCTCTGTGTAGCGTGTCTCTGTCTGTTCTCAGCTTCTCTTTGCCGATCTGTCTCTCTATAGCTATATATCTCTATGTATCTCGTTATGGATCTCTTTATTTTTGTCTCTCTATTTCTGGATCCAGTCTACTATCAATTCCCTTTGAATCTATATCTCTACCTCACTCTCACTTTCTCACTTACTCTCTCTCCCTCTCTCTCTCTTTCTCTCTCTCTCTCTCTCTCTCTCTCTATCTATCTCTCTATCTCTATCTTGTTACCGAATCTCTCTGCTTTTGCGTGCCTCTCCTTCATCAACTTTATATTTGAAGCTTTCTATATATGTATGTCTCTATGTCCAGCTTTTTATGACTCTTTGGCACCGTCTTTTTGTTCGCTCATCTCTATGAACGTATGTTGAGAATTGTCTCCTCCATTTCCTATTCTCAATTTTCACTTTCTCTTAGTTTCCTGCTCTTTCCATCTGTGCTCCAATCTTCATCTCTATCTATCTCTCTCTCTCTCTCTCTCTCTCTCTCTCTCTCTCTCTCTTTTTCCACCTCTCTTTATATCGTATCTTTCGTTGAATTTCCAGTTTTTCCTTTCTGTACCTCGAAGTTTATCTCTCTCTATCTTTATCCATCTTTCTTCTCTACCTCTTTTTTCCATCAATTTCCCGCTCTTACACTCTTTATCTCTTTCTTCTTTCCATATTTCTTTCTCTTTTCTCTTACTGTCAGTTTCCTTCCCTTTTTTTCGCAGTTTTCCTTAAAATCTCCTTTTCTTCTAATAGTTTTCTTTTCTTGTTGCCTCTTTCTCTACGTTTCCTTATCCAATTCCCATAGGGAATATGAGGTATTCCGTAGTCGAATTTTGAGTTTTTAATGTATGTGTATGTGTGGATTATACATATATTTATTGCCTTCTGTATGTATGTATATTTTATTAATTTGTAAAAACTCGAGACTTTGTGACAAATTTTCAGTATATCATTGTGGATAATTGTGAACATCTACTTGAAGCTCTCCCACTAAACTTTTTTTAATTGCCGATGTTTGCTGCAATACTTGAAGAAAGCAATCAATCATGATATAGGCCAATTATTGATTGATGAAGTCGAGCTGACTTGAGCCGGGTTGAGAATGCGATGTGAATTATGTAGTTATAACAAGTTCGAATTGACTTCAGCCAGGTCGGCTGACTCAGCTGTGGGCAAAACGTGACACATTTGCCAAGCTCTATTGAAATACCGTTAGCCGTCGTTTCCAAGGCATACTTGGCTAAGAGCACAATGAGCCATTTGATTAACTGTTTGCATTGCGCTGCGGCCAGACATAAATAGAAATGAAAGACATCGGCAGCCAACGCCAACGACTGCATTCCAAAGCAATTTATTAATAAACAATAATCAATAAACAATCAACAATAATCAATATACAATAAACAATGAGCCATAATAATAGACTGACTCAGTTTTGCTGAGCCAAATGCAAACAAAATGAGCTTCCAGCCACAAGAATATATCGCGCACACAATGAGTGGCTCGATTTGATTAAGTGCATTCCGCTGAATGCGTTGCTCCATCGCCAAGAAACATTCATTAAAATGCAACAATAGAACTGTCATCTAATTCCAGCTCCAGAGCTGAGGAAATAGTTTGAATTCTTTGAAGGGAATGCATACGATTGACGATGATAGTTTTCTGTTTTCCTGTGAAACAACTTGTTTTTGCGTTCATTTGAAATCTGAACAGAAATTTATTGGATAAATCAAATATGTATTGAAAAAATAAATATATATATGTAAAATATGTATATGCTAAGCAGACTTAGGTTGCAATGGGTGCATATCAAGTCTGCGATATATGTAATTGATACATTCGTAGGACTCTGTCCAGCTGGGCTAGCGCCTCCATTTTCTCCTATGACTGAATGAGAATTTAGTCTATGGATGACTTTTATGGCCACCTTCTCCGGTTTGTCTCCAATTTTTTATCTCCTTGAGTTGCTCGCTTTTCCCTAAGTCTTCTTTTCACCTCAGTTCTAAAAACCAGCTCTCAGCTATCGAGGAACATGAGGAAGAGCAACATCGACATTCTGGGAGTAAAAGTAAGAGTAGTTTTGTAAGCTCTTAGTACACCTTGTGCGAGGTCTCATTAGGTTATCCTGTCAACCGCATCTTCGTAACGGCTTACCAACCAAGCGATTAATCTTAAGCACGCTGATTCACAATACAGTTAAAATCAACGGTTAATTAAGGTGTATATATTAATGGGATCTAAAAATGTTTTGCTAGTTTTAATTATTGAGTTAGTTTGAATTATAAGAAAAGATCCAATAAATATAAACAGCCATCAATAAAAATATATATTTTCCTTTCTCTTTCTCTTTCTCTCTATGGCTTTCTGTCCTCTCTGTATACCCTTTCTGTTTTCTCCCTCCGTCCTTCTCTCTCTCTCTCCCTGTCGCTTGCACCCTTGTCTGCCTACTCTTTGTGCTATCGCCCTGTCTTTTTCTCTCTCTCTCTCTCTCTCTCTTTCTCACTCTCTCTCCCTCCAACTCTCTCTGTCTCCCTGTCTCTTGCTCTTCCTCTCTCTCACTCTCTCTCTCTCTCTATCGCTTTCAACCTTCCTTGCTTTCCCTTTGCGTCATCTCCCTCTCTTTTTTCTTTGTCTCTCTCTATCTATCTCTTTATCGCTGTCTCCCTATCTCTTTCTCTTCTTCTCACTTTCTCTTTCTCTCCTATTCTGTTTCTCTCACTCTCTCTCTTTCCCTCTATCTCTCTATCTGTATCTCTCCTCTTTTCTCTAGCTATTACTCTTTGTCGATTCATTGCTCTCTGTCTCTCTCTACCCTTCCCCTCGAACCATCTCGCCTTTTCACTCCCATCCCCAGTCAATCCTATTATATTTAATACTCATAATTATGCTTCGTTCAACGAAACCTTTAATAATCGATATTTTCTTTCACTCTCTCGCTCCCTATCCCGTGTCCCCCCTATCCCCGCCCTCTAGCTATGCCATTTGATGATAAATAATGCAACTGGCTGGCGATAGCGAGGCCGGCAGTATGCCCACCATCATCACCACAAGCACAAGCAGCAACAGCTTCTTGCAAGGAATCGCTCGCAAGGCGGTCACAGCTGCAACAACGACCAAAGATCGACTCATTTCCATAGTGGAGACGGACCCGCCCGCGGGCAGCAATATGGACCCTAGCGCCGCAATGACAACCACATCGATAACCGCAACAGCAAGAGCAACGGCAACAGCAGCAGCGACGGCGACAGCGACAGCGACAGCAACAGCAACAGAGCTCAGTCCGTCTGATGTGCTCAATGCGAGCTTTGAGGCCACCACAGCTGTCGGCATGGACACAGTTAAGACGGCAGCAGCGGAGGCCGGACTCCCCCTTCCGGCGTGGAACTCGTCGCTGGCCACCAACTATGACAACTGCTCGGCTATGTTTGCCAATTACACGCACCCGCAGACAGGTAAGCGCTCTTCAGACTGTCGCATCTCCTACCCCACTTCAATTGAATGTCATTCACTCTTCACTAAGCACCTCACTTCATCCCGAGATGCCCCTTTCCTCACTATTCTCGCAAAGATAACGAAAACAATTAACGAAATTAAGTAGTTCATGTGGAATGGAATAAGGTATGACATCTACCGAAATACTCAGCGCAGTCGATAAATTATCGGTAGACTGATAATGATGATAATGATATTTAAGGATACAGTTAAAAATAATTTATATTATTTTTTCATATATGTATTATTAATAATTTATTGAACTCTACTTGAAGATTTTCCAATAATCATAGAAAGCTTATTCCACAAATAAATTTTTATATAGAGAGTAGCTTTACTGAGATCTGCTAGTTAAGAATTATTCTGAATAAAATCTATTAAAACCTTTAAAAATGCCTAGAACAGTGCAAAAAATAATCGACCTAGCACATTCAGTAAATAACTAGTCAATCGATATAGTAAAATGCGAATTATACTTGTAAATCAAGATTTCGAAGTATTCTCAGAGTTGATGAACTTGTGAAAGCATCGAATCTATAAGAGAATCGATAAGCTATCAAAATCGATCAATGCTTCTAATCACAGCTTTAACAATATCCTAATTAGGCTAAACGATTATCAACAGAACAAAATATCCAATTGAGAAAAACAAAACGAATGTAAATTAGATATCGGGTTATACGGGTATATCGATCTAGTAAAATAACAAATGCTTTAGATTTGTCAAGAGTCCGCGAGCGCAGGACACATAGAAGTAAAGGAAATTAATGCCATATCAATCAATTTACCAAAAGGCTTACGACAGACAAATTGATAAATAGATCATGGATCATATGTATCTCAGCTCTATAAACTTTTTATTTACATTAACAAATTTATTTATGAGTGTTGTTATGTTGAACATAATCAAGAAAGGCGATAAGTAATCGATACATCAAATCGATAAAACGCAAATCGGACTATCGAAGCCATACATATAACATAAACAATATATAATAGATTATCTCTATAATATACATATATATCAATGTGCTATCGAAAGATCTATCGAAATTTCATGCATTAACAATCTCATTTTCGAAAAGCAGCTCAGGAAAGCACTGTCAAGTGAACTAATCAGATCTATAAAAGTTTTCGGCGTCGAAATCAATTCTCAAAAGTTCGTTTCAGTTTTGGCAACGCTCTCTCGAAACTAAAATTCTTTTCTAAACGACGGGCACAGACCGTTTTCGATGAGCACTAAAATTGTTTTGATTTTTTAACCCTGTACATAAATTGATAAAATTGCCATCTATTTAAATGGTGAAACTTTTAACATTGAATTCCAATTGAATTGCAAGATTCGAATTTGCTGCAAATTGTTACAAAATTGTTCGTAATGCTCAAGTTTGTTGTCAACATAGCCGTGCGGAGCGAACCGAAGGGTCGTTATGTAATCGCTGTACGCTCACAGACGAAACGTACCGGCTTCGCGAGTCCCATGTCAGACGAGAGCAGGCAGCTCTTGTGGAAGAAATTGTCCGCTTGGCGTCAGTCCCAGTCGGCTAAGGCCGACGCAGAGGCAGAAGCAAAAGCAGAAGCGGCCAGTGCCGGGTCCTTAGCCGGCGGCCAAAGCGACTTTTTCCTGGAGCCGCATTTGTTCTCGGCAACAGCGGGCCCCGCCAGTGTCGTCAATGAAGTCAACAAGTATCTACCCCTATTGGAACTACCAAATGAAAATTCTTCAAATCTGAAATCTTCGAAATCGAACACCAATAATGTCCAACTGATCCCAACTGCAGAAGCTAAGAAGACCACAGCATCCACAATGAATGCCATTGCATCTCGCACAGTGAGACCACCTTCTGACCACTCGACGAATAACAGCTCGCAATAGTTAAGTGAAGCTTCCAAATGATTAAAGTTTTAAACTGTACAATAATATACGGACAGAGAAATGCCTAATATGCAATCTGATCTATCACTGGGCGGGCGGGAGATATATCCAGTTGGTATTTCCAACTCATCTTTGCTGTTTCGCTCAATTGCCTGTTGCTCTCATTCTCGTTCTCCGCCTCTTCTCTCCTCTCTCTCTCTCTCTAATACCTCCCTTTTCTCTCTACACTCATCTTTCCTAGTACCTCTCTCTCATGTCTTAGCAAGTTTCTCTTTTCTCCATTTTCTGGTCCTTTGCACTCACTCATCTTTCCTGACTCCTCTCTCCACTGTCTTTCTTCTCAGATTTCCCATCTCACTTGTCTCTTCTCTCGAGTCTTGTAACCCTTTTTTCTCTATATCTACTCCGTCCTTTGTCCTCTGATCTCTATCTTCTCGTCTCTTTATCTTTTATCGTTTCTCCCTCTTCTATTTTCTGTTTTTCTGTCCACTGCACTCGTTCATTTATCCTAACTTCCCTCTTCTCTATCTTTCTTATCTGTTTCTCTCTCTTGGAGAGAATCTCTTCTCTGTTTTCTCTGTCCTCTTTATTCTATCCTGCCTCTTCTCTTCATCATCCTCTGTTATCTATGCTCTTCATTCTCCTCTATATCTGCTTGCTGTCTAACTCATATCAGTATCCTCCCTCTCTATCTTTCCCACTCTGTTCCATTCTCACCCTTACTCGCTCTCTCTCTTTCTTTTTCTTCCCTATCTCTGACTGTATCTATCTCTCTTTATTAATCTTTGCTCTAGGACTCTATTGCAACTGGACTTGGGACTCGCTGCTCTGCTGGCCCCCAACACCCGCTGGTAACCTCGCCCGCATGAACTGCCCCGCCGGCTATCATGGAGTGGATACACGCAGTAAGTAAATAAAAAATGTCACAAACAACTTTTGGGTTCCACCCGATTAGAGGTCTTTGAGACTAAACTATGATAAGATTGCAAAGTTCAAATATGAATATCCCTTCGTCATGCTTTAGCCTTAGTCCCAATGTGTATAATAAAATTTATGCATCGCCTATGGAAATATTGACCTTTAAGTTGCCACAGCCTGTAATACAGCTCTTATATTTTAGCTAAACAATTTCTTAAATATGAAACCGAAAAAAAAAATCGAGTATGGGAAGAAGTTCTTAGCCTTGATATATAACGTAGCCAAAAGCCAAAAGCCAAATGCCAGAGCGCTCCCACTTTGAGCGAACTACTTCGATATGCACGAAGGCATCAGTGAATGGGAGTCACGTAAAACTCAACTGAGATTTTGCTCAAAGGCAACTGAAACGCTGCAGATATGCAATAAATACATATATATATTTAAAACATATATATATATATATGCTTATAAATAGGCAAGTTATATGTATGTAGTGCATGGCTTAGTAGACTAATATCACTTTGATGAAGGGTTTGCCTCTATAAATAGATAATCACCTAGAGCTTAAACTGGGCCAAGCCCTGGCACATTGTCTTGTCCTGAGCATTCGACACCTGGTGCTCTGCACTATAATTTACTCGAAATTGCTTGGGAATTAATTGAAACATACTATATATATACAGTTACTCGAACGACTCGCTAATTTAAGAAAACTATTTCTGTAAAGCAAGTCGTACTTGATTCTTAAATACTCTTCATTTGACCATACTATTTGCTTAGTTCATATCAAATTAAATGAATAAGAATTATATGTAATATAATATAATATATATCCATATATGCATATTTATATTATTATTATATTACATTACTATTTGCCGTTCCTTGCCTACAAGTACTTTTCTTTGTGAATCTCTTTTTAGCGTGTGTCTCTCTCTTTCTCTCTCTATGTCTCTTTCTCCCAATCTATCAAGCTCGATCTAATTTTTCTCATTTTAGTCTCTCTTAAAAATTTGTACATTTTTGTCTCCTAATCTTTTTCTCAATTAAGGTTTCTTTGAACCTCTTTCTCTCTTACCCACTCTTTCTCTTTCTCTCTCATTCTCTTGCTCCCTCTCTCTCTTTTTCTCTCTCTCTCTCTCTCTCTCTCTCTCTCTCTCTCTCTCTCTGTTTATCCATCTCTTTCTAAATCACTCACTCCCTTAAACCTTCCTCACTTTTTAATCTCTCAAGCAATATATCTCTACATATATCTGCCAATATCTCTATGTTAAGCTCTGCACTTCAATTTCTCACAATCTCTGGCTAGTTCAATCTCCCTCTTTGCCTGGCAATCGCTTTCTCTTAATCTTAGTCAATCTGTTTTAAAATTGTATCTCTGTCTCTTTCCCATTATCAGTTATCTCTAAGCTACTCTTTCTCTCCCTCTCTCTCTCTCTCTCTCTCTCTCTCTCTCTGTAACATTTGAATGCTTGCTGAGGTATCTCAAATGACCCCACCGACTCACTCTAATCAAATTGAGAATTCGAAAGATTTTGATGATGAAATTGTTATATTCAAGAGCAGATCATATAAAATATTTGAGGATGCTTTTGAAGGATATACATAATTCAAGTGGTGGCAAGACGCTATTGGATAATTGACCAGACACAAATAGTAGTAACAGTAGAACGATTGTGTGCACCTGAGCTAGTTCCGCGTAACATGCGAGTATTCTTCAAACTCAATTTAACCTTTCGGCGACATTGTCATGGGTCGATTGTGCAGTTAAAATTCCGAATGTCAAAAGGCGAGACATGCAAGGCAATTCCTAAAAATTACTAATTGGAATGCTTTGAATGCCTCCTTGCATCGAAGAGTGCGAACGAGGTGCTATGTATAAATATATAGAAGACTATACCTAGAAAACATTTTATAGCTCTATTCCGAGTAGCTCTTTGGCAGGGTGCAACAAGGCGCTTATCTGCACTTTGTCAAGGCTCTGCCCACAGCTGAGGGAGTCACGCCACATACTCTTCCCTTTTATTTCTGCACAGAACCGCAATTTACGCCGGAAGTAACAACGCGTGTGTGTGTGTGTGTGTGTGTGTGTGTGTGTGGAGCGTATATTGGTCAAAGCCTTTGAAGATAATGATAATGAGGAGCATGGCTTCTCGTTGCCATGGCTTTAAGTTGGGCAATTTGAAGCTTTTACGCAGCTCGAAATGCAACCTGCTCAATATTTAATGAGAGAGAGAGACGGGCCACATAATTTCAGCTGTCCTCGATTGTCGCCCAGGTATCACAGCAATGCACACCTGTATATATCACACAACGGGGCACAAATACATAAAAACACACACGCACACACACACACACGCACACACACTCTTCTTCTTCACGTCGTTTCACTTCGCTTCGATTCGATTGACATAATTACAGCAAAAGCGAAAACGTTGACGAACGTTTGGTCTCTGGTTAAGACAGAGGCAAAGGTCACTGATGCGCGACTGGCGAATACCCTGGAAAACCAGGAATAAGACCAACCATTTACTTGAATAGAAAATCTGATATGAATATAACAGAAGAATCAGAATTATCAATAAATACTGTGAATATTTTTTGAGCAACTCTATGTGCCTAGCCTCAACAATCTCAGAGTTGACGCCATATAAGGTAGATCTAATGACATTAAGGAACTCCTCCTATAAGGATAAAAGCTACCCTTAATGACAGCAACCTGACAATACGTGTCGTCATGCCCGCTCTTGAGCTGCACTCTGGCTACAGGGTATTAATAAGGTCAGCAGTGAGAAAGCATTGGGGAGCAACAATGAAGCGTGATTGGGCGGAAGCGACAATTTCTAATACAAAATGTCACTAGTCCAGAAATACCCTCTGCACTCTATGCAGGGTATGCACGACTTGCAAATCAAATTTGTATAGCTACGAAAATCCTTGGCTTAACTCTAGCTATATCAATGGCATTTACTTGCTATGGCCTTTGGATTGACAGCTGCAAATTATTTATTTACTTGCTTGGGCGAGCTTTGTGAGGAACAGAGCAGGTGGAGTAGGGAGCAGGAAGTGGGGAGCGGGAAGTGGGTAGCGGGTAGCCTGGACCCTGACACACATAATTGTAATTGCGTTCATTTTAATTGCATTGAATCAGAGTTCGCGAATCGGAAATGCGAGCTGGATGGTCATTGGGGCGGACGACCCAACGAAACGGAACCCAACTACGCCGGCTGGACGGACTACGGGCCATGCTACAAGCCGGAGGTCATACGCCTGATGCAGGAAATCAAGGATGTGAACGTAAGTACGAATACCGGACAGAGCGGCTCAATGGAACGTGTTCCCCTTTCAATTTCATTTGCTCTATATTGACAGCTCTACATTGACATTGCGCAACGGACACGGACACTGGAGATCATTGGACTATGCCTGTCCCTGCTCGCCCTCATCATCTCGCTGGTGATATTCTGTGCGTTTCGCTCGCTGCGCAACAATCGCACCAAAATCCACAAGAACCTGTTCATTGCGATGGTGCTGCAGGTGATTGTCCGACTAACCCTCTACCTGGATCAGTTTCGACGCGGCATTCAATACAATTCAAGTCTATCGGCTATCGAGAATACGGTAAGTGAGGCAGCGATATCAACTTATCGTTGATGGACGATAACTGCTCACCGCCAAGTGTGTGATTGGTAAAACAGCTCTACTACTAAGGAAACAGTTGCTATCGACAATCATAAATCGATTTAAATTAGATTTAAATTGTTATCGAATGAGAATTAAATAGTGTTTGAATGGATATCGAAATAGAAATGCAAGGGTATGGAATTGCAATCGAATGCTTATTGTACTGTTAACAAATTCGTATCGAGCATTTGTAGAGTTGTTACCAAACTGCTATCGAATAGTTATCGAGAAGTTATCAAATTGTTATTAATATTTAGTCGAACTGTTTTCGAAAAAAAGTCAAATTTTTGATGAATTAATATTTCTATTGAGATGTTATCGAGAATCGATCACAATCGACTTGTTGTCTATAGAATTTCAGTGACTTCTCTGTCATGACTTCTTCCCTGGTGCCTATCCGATTTGAATGACAATAGAATCGAATAAATGTACTATCTATAGTTATTCTCTAGGGTATCAGTTTTCATAAATCGATTATAGGGATCTTCCTTAAGTATTATGCATTGTTTTTCTATCGATCCTTATCGATTCGTTATCGATTACAGCCCTATCTGTGTGAGGCATCCTATGTACTGCTCGAGTACGCACGCACCGCCATGTTCATGTGGATGTTCATCGAGGGCCTCTACTTGCACAACATGGTCACCGTCGCTGTATTCCAGGGTAGCTTTCCGCTCATCTTCTTCTCGCTGCTCGGCTGGGGCATGCCCGTTGTGATGACCTTTGTGTGGGTGCAGTGCACGGCCATCTTCATGGACACCGCCCTCGGCGACTGCATGTGGAACTACAACCTAACGCCCTACTACTGGATCCTGGAAGGACCTCGCCTGGCCGTCATACTGGTGAGTTGGCCGAGCTGCCCAGGGAGAGAAGCTGCCCAGTCTATATCTACATATCTATCTGTCTTTCTGCTCTGCAGCTAAACTTCTTCTTTCTGGTCAACATCATACGAGTGCTGGTGGTGAAGCTGCGTCAGTCGCAGGCTAGCGATATCGAGCAGACCCGGAAGGCAGTCCGGGCGGCCATTGTGCTGCTGCCTCTATTGGGGATTACGAATCTATTGCACCTGGTGCCTGCACTGAAGACAGCTTGGAAATTCGCCATCTGGAGCTATGTGACCCACTTTCTGACCTCCTTTCAGGGCTTCTTCATTGCGCTCATCTATTGCTTCCTGAACGGCGAGGTGCGTCCTGATCTCAATCCATTTCCTTGCTCTCGGCTAACCCATTTGCTACGCCCCTTCACAGGTGCGCGCTGTGCTGCTAAAGAGTCTGGCCGTCTGGATGTCGGTGCGCGGACATCCGGAGTGGATCCCGAAGCGTGCGTCCATGTACTCAGCTGCCTATAACACAGCGCCGGATACGGAGCCACCGGCACAGCAGTCGGTAGAGGCGCTGTCCTCCAACATACGGTAAGTGGTCACGGCCAGGCGGAGATACCCTGTAATATAGTGTGTGACATTCGGCATTAGGATCTCGCCGCAAAGCAGACGCCTCAATTGCCGTAAGGCCAGCAGCGTGATCATCGTCATTGCCAATGAGCCGCAACGTCAGCGATCTGTCCAGCAGCGCAACAACAACAACACGGCGAATGGGAACGGCAATCAAGGCAAGGACGAACCGGCAAGTGGCTCCGCTAGGTCCGGCCAACGGATCAGAAGCAAGGAGACGCCGGAGCAAGGTCGCAGCACGGGCAACTGGATGTTCAGTCTGTGCTTTCACGGCCAAAAGGTACTGAGAGTACCGCCAGCGTCATCCGTACCACCCGAGTCAGTTGTATTTGAGTTGTCAGAGCAGTAGGCCAAAAAACCGTAGTTCTAGCCAACTATATATAGAAACTTAGCAACCCCGTAGCACAACCCCCAACCCACTTAGTGACTAGCCTCGACTTTGGTCACAAACTCTCCGCATAACTTATCAACCTTTCAGCTTACATGCACAGAACATCCACCCGAACTATGCTAGAGATGGGCGCATCTCGAGCATGACTAAACACGATCGCATGCCCTGATCAATAGGCATATGGCCTATTGTCTAGTGGTATTTGTCGTGCGCCCATCTCTGAATGCTATCAACTTTTGTATGCTGTAAAAATTGCCTAGCCTAATTAGTCTTAACCACGAATTACACACGAAACACGCTTATTTGCGACTGCTTGGCTCGAGTTGAGTTTGTCCCAGCGACAGTTCACTGTACGCTGTCCACCACACACATATCTTATACACCCATATGCTTGACTCCGACCTGTACACCTGACTATATCCTCAAGATCGCCAGCCATCAACAGGCCCCAAGAATTCTTTGTATCTTATTACATTCTATTCTAATCCCACAATTATGCCCAGGATCTTGGACAGCATGTCGATTAAACCAAAGAAATCCCTAAATATTTCATTCAAAATAAAACTAATATTTTAATAGTGATCAGTGTGACCGGAGTACCATTTGACTTTATCACAATTATATTGCATTTTCGGAGCTCATTTGTAGTTAAACTCATGTAAATATGTATAGACGTATAGTACATATAAGAATTTTTATTGTATATCTCGATCAATTATCGATTTAAGTTAGTATATAGTAGTTGAGTTTTGGTAAAACAAACAATATTACAATATAGTATTCCTATTTATATGCTTTTAATGTGAAGGGAAACTTTTAATAACGAAATCGATTTACTGTCGATGGCAATTCATCATTAGGAAGAGCTCAAACGGAAGTTCCTAAAAAGTTATAGTCAAACTTAAGGTTACTTATTTCAAAAGGACATCAACAGACTTATCTTGACTGAGAAGGGCTTTACAGGAAATTCATATTAAAATGAAGATAAATTAAGGAAAGACTTGAAGATCATGAGAGCAAGTAGTGAGAGAGCGAGAGGGATAGAGATATAGGGAGAGAAATGAAGGGTAATTTTATATGAATAGCGAATTGTTGACAAAATATATAAAAACTCAGAAAGCTCTTAAATAAAAATTAAAGTACATTTTTATTAACAACTCTAAGGATAATTGATAATAATTTTAGAAGAACTTTATGAGATAAAGAAAACTCAATGAGAAAATATAGAAGAAGGGAATTTCACAATATTATATTAATAATTTTACGATAAAAAACAGATTTCTGCATTTTGCTCAAAATCGAGCAATTGGGAAATTGGAAAAATGCTTTAATGAAAAACTGGAAGAATACTTGAAGTATTTTTTATAGGAGACCAAATGTTTGATAATATATGTGTATAATATATGTATGTATATATATATTTTTTAGAAATTCCCATTTGGGCATTTAATCACATTAGTTGTTCAACTCGCCCATCGAAAGAGCTCAAAATACATCTTAAGTACTAAATATTCCTATTGAATACAGTTTACGGCATAAGTAAAGGGTAGCCGTTAGTCGATCACTTCAATGTATTTCATTTATCACTAGCATTCGGTCACACTGATCAGCTAAAATGTATGCCAATAGCCAAAAATGATTTAAGCCTCTTTTAACCGCTCTTTTTTAAATTATACTAAACTTAATGATTGCAACTAAAGTTTATTCATAAATAATTTTACTAATAATCAATCTGCTCACAGAGTTTTTTTTTTTGCAGCGCTTTGTTTGCAACCAAACGCACAAGATTTGCAATTTTTATAATATTTTTTATAATTGAAAGAAAAACAACAACAAAAGCTATCAAACTTAATGTCTATGTGCTTTTTTCTCTCTCTCCCTCTCTCTTTTTCCGTCTTTTCTTCCATTTTTGTCACCATTCTATGATATGCATACGAATAACTTTTTTTTGTGTTTGCCAACTTTTCATCAAATTTTTGGCGCGCTTCTGCTTGATGCATTTTATGTCTCTCTCTCTCTCTCTCTCTCTCTCTCTCTCTCTCCTCTTTCTGTCTTTCTCTGTCTTTGCCTTTCTCTCTTTTTCGTTTCTTGCCTGTCTTTTTGCTTGTGTCATTTGCAGAACAAATGTGTGATGCCTGGCGCTCAGCAAATATTTATGACGTCACAGTTGTCCGCAACGACATCAATGGCGACGTTAACAACAACAACTACTACTACAACAACAACAAGTGCAATCGCAACCATAACAACAACAACAACAAGCTGAACAGCCGCAGCAGCCGCAGTCGTAAAAATATTGCAAAAACCAAAATACTAACTGTAAACCTTAAGAACTGTTGAACGCCTAAAGCTTAACGCGAGCACACGCTCACACTCAGTCACACATACATACATACACTCGCTCAATATCTGACTCTCACTCTCGCTATCTCGCTCCCGCTCTCGCTCTCGCTCTCTCGGTGTCGCTTTATCCGTTGCCCTTGCGCACGTTTTAGCTTAGCTTCTAAGCGCGCAGCAGTACTAAAGAAAAAAACTCAACTGAAATGTGTGCACTTTTATAAATAGATTAATATCAATTATTTTATATACATATATCTATGTATATATCTGTATGCATATCGGTATATATATATATTTATACCTATATATATATACATACATATGTATATGTATGTAATGCTAACTCATAACTGAGAGAGAAAAAGACCGCAAATCGAAATCGAATTTGATTCGATGCGTGTTTTCTTCTCTTTATGGCTATATTTGTGTGTGAACAATTAATATTTAAGTGAAAACTTTTTTTTTTTTAATAAATATATACTTAACGTAAGGCGGCAAACTACTAAAACAAAAAAGCGTATATACATACATACATATATGCATATATACATGTATACATATATAAACATATTATTCATATACAACAAACATAGCTGCATATTTATATACATACATATTAAACATATAGTGCAATTACATACATACATATACATATATATACATGCATACATATATCTATTTACACATGATGTCACATTATATCAATATAACGGTATACCAAGCTACCTGAACATTTTTAAAAGATAATACCTATATACATACATATGTATATGAATATGCTAAAGGTTATACATGCATTCAAGTTGTACTAGTTCCGATTTACTTACCCAGATTTTTTGTAAAACTTACCTAGAATATACCTAGAGACCAGATAGCATCGGATGATGTGAAAAAAGATATGCACTCTTGCACAATCTTATCCTTCACATCTGATTTTATACAATATATCTAATTTTGGCTTTGTCACACCCAAATAGATCTAAGTGTAACGCTTGTCCTCTGTGAACCATCTGCAAAACTTGAACAGTTTTAAATCTATAGCTCTCACAGCTATGAAAGCTATAGTCTTGGTCCGTTAGGCAGGTCCTCATAGGTGTAAATTTTCTATAAAAATGTATAGAGAGGTTCAACTGTTAACTGTTAACTGCAAACTTTTAAATGTGAACTGTAGATGTATCTATATGTGGGTGTTTTCATAAAGTGTTCTGAAATTTCAGGTCTCTAGCGTCAATAATAGAGAAATGGTTACCAAGCACAGCTGAACAGATAAACAGCAAGACCAATTGCACATAAGCTATATACTCTCAGAAGAACAGTCACAATTGTGAGAACTACACTTATCTCTCACCCGAGCCTCCCCCCTCTCTCCCACTCTATTTAACTCCGTCTTATCCAAATAAACGCGTTTGCCGGTTCAGATTTCTTTTCGAACCGGCTCATTTGCAGCATTCTTGAGCCCGTAAACAAAATGCATGAACTAAACATATACACATGTATTTACATATATATGTATATGTATACTGTTATATTGGAGAAGTACAAAATGCAGTCACAGTACTTGGTATACAATATCTTAACATATTCGTACACACACACATATATATATATACATACAAGCATATATAGAGATGTCTATCTAATATAGTGCATGCGCATTTTTCGCAAACTTAAGAACCATTTACACCGGTAAATGCCGACTTGAAGCCCCATTTACAACGCGTGCAAATGAGTGAAATATATTTTTGCTCACATATTTTTTAACGCCATTTTTGCCCCTCGACTTCGCGCAAAAACCAAATTTTTTTTTCTTAAGCTAAGAACTTGATGGAAGCAAGCCGAATTTAATGAGAAAACACACACAAAATAGGAAAATGGGAAAGCTAACTACTTAATACAAAACAGAACTGTGAGAAACATAATAAACCATAAGAAACAGAGAAACCAAAAACCAAAAAAACAAAACAAAAATGTGGTCAATGGCAAACTATTACGTGTATAAGCAAACATAATATACATATATCTATGTGTATATGAATAAACTTGATTTTATATATGTATCTAAATAGTTGATGTTTGTCTCGCCTTTTATTAATTCAAATTGGGGAACTCTAGATCTCGCGAAATGAGAACGAGAACTGGAACGATATCGTGAAAGATAATCTATGCGCGTAGGTCTTTCGATAGAAGTATATGCTATATGCATATTTGTATCCACAATTTACGTTACTGTTATTGGATTGCGGCCTGGCACGTGTCGTGTGTGACGTCTGTTGAGGGAAGGTGGAGGGGGACGGGCGATCTGACATATCCATATCGATGACTACGAGTACCCAAAGCGGCTAAATGAGACGATTTTATGGGCCATCAAATAGGTTTTTTTTTTTTTTTTGATTGTTTCTATTTGGTATCTAGTTTCATTTACTGTGCACAATTAAAAGTCGACGAAATTAGGCAAATTAACAACAAATACACACAAAAGCCAATCATGAGAAGAGTAATAATAATAATAATAATAATAATAACAATAATACAAATACATTGTCAAGTACATACATACATGTACGCACATAATTTCATTAGCTACATACAACAACAACTAGAGAGCAGCAATAGCAACAACAACAACAATAGCAGCAATAGTAACGGCAACCGCAACGGCAACACAGCAGCAACAACAATCACAGCGCGAGCAGCGTATGGAGCAACAACAACGAACCAATAGCCGAACCAGAGCCAGAACCCGAACCAGAACCAGAGCTAATTGCAGTACAATGTGAGAGACGAAATTGAATTAGCACTCGCGAAGCCTTAACTGATCTGCGTGTGTGTGTGTGTGCGTGTGCGCGTGCGTGCTTATATATGTATGTATGTGTGCGTATCTCCGTGTGTGCGTGTGTGGGGATTGATTGGCTGGCGTGCGACTCTTTCAATTAGAAGAGCAAGTCCTCGTCGCCATCCTCTTCGAGTATATTCTGCGCCTGTTCGCTGCTGACCACGTTGTAGCCCTGGCGGCGCAGCTCCTCGCGCTTGAGATCCGCACTCTTGCGCGCCTCGCGCTTCTTGTCCTGGATCTTCTTCAGGCGATAGAACTCCTCGCGCTCCAGCTCGTCCAGCTCACTGATGATGTACTCAATGGTGCGATTGATGCGCGGTATGATAACTGTAATGGTCAATCGCAATGATCAATCGCACATCAATGTGATATCAAATTCCAAATACTAACCATGCTCGATGGCATTGACACGCCTGTTGGTCACCTTGATGACATCGTCCAGCGTCACAAAGGACGTTTGCAGCGATGCCAGCTCGACCAGCAGACGCACCGCGCTCTGGTAGTTCTTCTTCAACTTGGCCAACTGTTGGCCGCCGCGCGCCAAGCCGGCCAGCTCGTAGGTATCGACGCCATCCTGATAGGGCTCGAACAGGGGCAGAGTGACGCCGGCGACATTGTCCTTCTTGGTGCGAATCTTGATCTGTGCCTTGGTCACGTTCTGCAGCACGATCTGATTGATGTCGCCCGTGGTGAACTTGACCTCGGCCAAAGAGAAGGCCGCCTCCTTCATTACCTGGCCCATTAGCATTTTGGTCTGTGCAAAGAGTGAGAGAGATCACTCAGATGACGAGACGATGTCATCATTAATCAGCTGCTCTTGCCTACCTCAATGATCTTGCCCAGAATCAAACGGAAACGCATCTGCAAAGCGTCAGCCTTCTTCTTAAGTAGGCCATGGCCTTTCGTGGCGCCCGCCAGACGCGATTTCATCAACGTTTGTGCTCTGCGCGACAGAATGCGTGAGATGGAGATATGTATCTCTAGAGACAGAGAGGGGGAGAGCACTTACCCGCGCGATGGAAATATGGGCAGACGATCTCTGGCGGCCATGATTCAATTGGTTTGGTTAATAAAGCCCACAAGTGTACCGTTACTGGCACCGCTACAGTTCCGTTATGCGCTGCTTCTTCCTTAGCCGTCTGCCAACTGATGATAAATTTGAATAGAATTTTATGTTGTGCACAACTTTATGTTAAACGTCAACAAAAACGACAATAATAACAACAACAATGGCAACAATAACAATGCATAGACTATAAACTAAAAATAAGAGCAACAAAATATTAACCACAATGAATATATGCGACAAATATACAAAAATAAACGGACGAGCACCGAGCAAAAAGAACGAGAACCGCAAAGCAAAGCACACGACAGCGAAATGGGACAAATGACAAACAGCGCAACGGTCTTCGACGTTAACGTCAACGTCGACGCAGGCGCCAACGCCGACGGCGACGCAACATCGTCCAATGTGACGTATGGATAAAAGTGAAGCGCGTCCATTGGGCCGAGCGCTCAGCTGATGCCATCACAGCTAGTGTCAGCGAGGAGCACAGCTAGCTAGAGATGAGCGCGTGAGTGATCGATCGGATGCCGCAAATTTCGCTGCAGTGTAATCTGCATTTCTTTTTGCATTTCAGTTGAAATATGAACATGTTAATTAACTATTTTAAGGAACTACTGTCGCATACATAATCAAGTGTCATTACAATAGTAAAACCTTCAATCTCACACTGTCGACTCCGCAGCGCACACATCTCTAAGCCAGTGCTGCCAAATCGCTGCATGGACCGTTAGACCGAATTGAGCTAAATTGATGCTGATTGCCAACAGTACGCACAACACTTAGTCAGGTCGTCAGTCACTAAAAACAAAGAAATGTCCGAGCCCAAGCACAACACACGCGCTGTCGCTTCCATTGTCATCGTCTTTCGGCTTGACCTAGCAATGGCAAACGGAGCTTTTACGCAAACGGGGGAGGGGGTGGCACAGAGGTTGTCCGAGTCACGCAATTTGAATATGCGTCTTGTGCGCCGTCATGTGTCAAAAAAACAAAACGAGGCAAATTAAACACAATGCGAAAAAAAAAGCAGAAAAACAAAAAAAATTAATATACACGTGTGCGCCTTATACAGTATGTTGGTTAATAATATTTATTAAAATAAAAAATATTGCATGGGCAACTGGGAATTGCTGGGGTCACAGTCTAGCTCGAGGTCTGGGCCGCGCAACGTTTGTTGCAGGGCGTGGCTGGGTCTGAGCAAGGCCGTAAACAAAGTGGAATCAGTTTCCTAACCAGACATCTGCCATTACTAGCCTACGTAATGCTCAAATACTAGGCGATTCTCTAGAGACCTCTCTATTTTATGGTAAGTTAAAGTTAATATATTTATTATCTTTAATAGCAGTACTTAGTGTAAACGCTGCTTAAGATTCAATTAGCAAAAATTACTGAGTACATCAATCGTAATTGTCGAGTATTTGTTATGCAGGTGACATCCCATTGGGCTTAAGTCCTTGAGTAAGTCATATAAAAGTCAAAATTCGTATGTATTTACATATGTACACACATACGCACACACACATACACACAAACAGAGCCACAAGTGGCATGAAGCGCACACACAGACGCGCACACAAAGAACAAAGTGAATCAACAGTTGGCGTCGCCGTTACTGCTGTCTAATTCGTATTGGGCTAAATATTACAGAGTGGGAGCAGAAGCTAGGCAACAGGAACAAAAAAAATACTTTTGCGCCTCTCTTTTGCTCTCTAGCTCGAATTTTTATTACCATTTGGCAAAAGTCACGAACAGGCACACTGACTCACTCAACGACTCCCTCGCTCACTCGCATACACACAGACACACAGAACACAGCACACATACGCACGCACACGCACACGCACGCACTCATCCTGTTAGATGTTAAAAGCGTTTTTCATGGTCGTGCATTGAGCAGGGGCTCACGCTTTCAAGCGACTTGTTGAACAGGCCGACCAGCCTGTACGCCACTGGACATACATTTTTCTCTCAAACGCACAGGAACAGAAGCACAGCCAGGATGCTGCTGCTGCTGTTGCTGCTGCTATTGAGGCCGCAGTTCGCATTTCGCAGCGCCCGCAAGTAGGTTACACATTTTTAGTCGCTCTCCCAATATATTAAATCAAATTGTGAGATTAACCACTCAATCACCAGTAAGTAAATAAATCTGTTAAGAAAAAACTAATGACTAAAGAAAATAAATGAAATTCGCTCAGTGCAAATATAGCAAAGCGCGCAAAGATAAGGGTAAAGGGGCAAAGTAGAAAACGGGGCTAGATGAGTGCATATTCCGTCGTTAAGTGTCGAAAATGGTTGAATATAATGCGATTGTAATACCAGTGACACCAACAACAGCTGCAACAAACAACAACAAAGAATAAAAAGCAAGAGAGAGTTTTCATGTGTGCGTGCTGGAATGCGTCGGTGAGCGCGTGAGCGCGTGAAATAGAGAGAGAGAGTTATGCGTACTCTCTAATTGAGTTATGAAAGCAAAAATGCCACTGAGAGCTGGCGTGTAATAAATACACATACACATATGTGTGCAGGCATATATGTATGTATGTGTCTAGGTATGTGTATGAGAATGTGCATAGTTATATGCGACACATACACAAGCATAAACAATGATCATTTTTTGTTTTTGTGTGTGACCAGCAGTAAAATTTCATGAAGCTGCGCTTTAAAATATTCATATTCGACTATATAACCCCATCTAATAAGTATGCTACACATTCTTCCCACTTCTTTATATAGCATACATTCCCGAGCACATTTAGATATTGTAATTTAACAAAATGGAGTACAAACTGATCACAGCTGACCACTTTGAGCGAGTGATCGAGCATTTGCGGCGTAATTTTTTTGCCGATGAGCCACTGAACCGTGCTGCTGGTCTCTGCCAGCACGGGGGTGGCAACGCTGAACTGGAGCATCACAGTCTGACAACGCTGCAGGATCAGCTAAGCATCATGGCAGTGGATGGTCGTAAGGACAGCAACAACTACGGCGAAATCGCTGGCGTCATACTCAATGGCGTCCTCCGTCCAGGCGATACGGAACAGGCGCTGGAAAAGCTGCAGGAGAGCAGCGATGCCAACTATAAGAAAATCTTTGAGCTGCTCTACGGCCACAGCCTGCAGGTGGATCTCTTCGAGCGCTACAATGTCGAGCAGATTTTCGATGTTCGCATCCTCTCAGTGGATGCACGCTATCGCGGACAAGGCATAGCCAAGGAGCTGGTGCGCCGCGCCGAGCAGGTGGCACGCAATTCTGGCTTCCAGTTGCTCAAGGCCGATGCCACCGGCATTTTCTCACAAAAGATCCTGTGCTCGCAGGGCTTCCAGCCGTTCTCCGAGCAGCTCTATGCCAAATATACGAATGACGCTGGCGAGATTATCTTGCCCGTGGAGGCACCACACATTAAACTACAGCTGCTGACCAAACAGCTCAACAAGGACACTCAGTAGAAATACAAAGACAAAAACGAAATTTTTATAGCCATTTTTTTATTATTATATACGAGTATATACATATATATAGATAGATATATATGTACGTTAAAATACTGTTATATTATGTTTTATAATACTATTTTTTGTATTCGAAAAAGTTCTGAAATACTTGTCTTGTTCTACAAGGGATTATAATATAATATAATATATATCTTGTTGTTGTTGTTTTTTTAATTTTTTTTGTTTTAAATGGGGACCAACTATAATCTTAAATAAATGCTATAACTATTCAAAAAAAAAACATAGTAAACTTTGTTTTGTTTGACAACAAAGGTTAATGCAAACAGTGGAAACAAATAAATTTACATATATATAAATATATGTATGTATATATAAATATATATATACACATACATGTTATATACAAAAATATTAAACAATAAATAAAGTAAGCAAATTATATTGACAACATAGTTAGTTATTAAAAACTAACGGTACATATAGCTTAGGTACGTCAGATGAAAGGCCAAGCCTAGTACGATCAGATCGCAGTCCTAATACAAGTAAATATCACATAAGCGAGCAGGTCCAATTTAACAACAACAACTATGGCAACTGCTGGCCAGGTACGGCATGACATTACGTCGCCACTATCGGCATCCGAGTGTTTACTTTTTCCGTTTCGATTTCTCGAAAATGAATATGATATCCTGATCAGTGCCGAAAGCCGTTCTTGCTGTATCCATAGAAGCCGGTGAACAGCGGCAAGTATCTGAAATCGAATAGACGATTAGTCATGCTTCCATAAATATTAAATTAGTTAATTTCATTGCATCGCACTTACGGCCGTCGCGTGTTTCTGGATTATTATAAAATATTGTATGTGCTTCTGCGTCGTAGCCACATAGCACCACATAGTGTCCAGCAAAACTTTTGTTTTTATTTTGGGCAAAACAGAAGAGATGAAAACTTAATAATAAGCAAAGTGGTTAAAATGGGTTAATCAAGCCAATTCAAGCACTGCAAGAATGCACAGCCAAGACACGCTTCAAACGACCGTTGGGCGCCAGCTCACATCCCGATAACATCGTCCTATCGATAATTGTGATCTCGGCTTTTCATATGGTAATTTAGCAACTGGATGAATGTTAAATGCAAGTGTCTGGTGGTGCCACGACAAATGACTATGATTGTCTGGTGAGAAGGTTGCATAAGTGATTGCAATTATTATCCAATTCAGTTCATTATTGGCAAACGGCCCGGACCTTGGCACGTTCTCAGTTCATTATTAAGATTTCCGTGTCTTTGTTGTGCATTCGTATTATTGCATTGCATTAAGGAGTATACATAGTACGTAAGTTATGTATGTACATACATATGTATGTATGCATATATGTACGTAACAAAAGAGCTACGTTACGACTACCTACCCAAACTTTTCACGAATCGTACGACGGCACACTTCGCAAATGAGTTGCGAGGCATTTGTCAACAGTATGATTGGTCCATGGCGTGCCAAGTGCATAACAATACCATGCATGTTCACAGTGCGCTGCTGGATGCGCAAGCCTTTCCCAGGCGCTTCCTTGAACCTGCGCATAACCCGCTTCTCGTCCTTGTCCAGTACATGCGAATAGTAAGAATGCTTCTTGTAACTTGGATCCACGCCAATTGTTTGCGTATAGTATTCGTGACGCACGTGATAGCGAAGCAGCAGATAGCAGAGATCGATTGTCCAGGTACTGACACCGAAACCTTCATCCTTGCAAATGCTCTCGAAGTTATTTAGGAACTGTTTACGTTGCGATGAGGACAATATCATTAAAATGCAGGTCACCCCGCAATCCCAGTTGAAGCGTTGTTGAATGTGCGTAATATTATATTGTTTACTTTGAGGTACAGCGGTCATCGTTGTCAGTTGATTCAATCTGTGATTTTAGCTTATTTCTTTTTTATTTGTTGTTTTTTTTTTTTATTATTATTATTTAATAAATATATATATTTTTTTGTTATTTTTTGTGGATTTGTATTTTCGTCTTCAGAATGTGTTGACACAGTGGTACCAAACTCTTTATGTAAATGCTTCCTTCTTTCTGGTGTTGTGACTTAAAATATCCTTGTCAATCATTAAACTTTTGATTACTACACCAAAGAATTTGGTACCAAAGGATTTCAAACGACAAATTTTGAAGACGAAATTGCGAAATGGTGTTTCATTGGTTTCTTTTTATAAACAGATGTGTGTAAATCGTAGCAAGCAGACGTAGCGTTGAAATGTTATGTTAAAATTAACAGAGCGTAAGCGCAAAGTGAGTCGCGTAAGTGCAAAAATGAGTACGATGGGCCAAGCAGTGCAAACCAGACAAGTGCTCTTACAATTCCCAATGAGAAGTAATCGATTCTATTCGATAAGCAAAATTTCTTGCGGTATCTTACAAATTAGTGAGCATTTTTGCGTAATAGCTGGATAGCATTAGAGATGTGCAATACTGTGATTGGGGCCACTGTTAACCTTAAATTACAAGTATCGGCAGTTACGATATTTTTAAGTGAAGGCAGAATCCAAGTCAGTAAATTATATGTGGTCAACATCAACAATACTTTCAGTTGAACATACAGACAAGTCAAAGCACTGTTTTTCACACACCCAACGCGGATAGGGCACTCTAATACTAGAGTATTATTAATAATTGAAAATGTTTGTAATACTCATTTAATTAATGAGTAAAGATAACTTTCGCGCTTAGTAGTTTATAAAAATGAATGTACGTTATGAAAATTCGTTATTTTCAAGTGTTCTTGACTTAGCACTGCGACACGCTATTTGCGCAAAACTATCGCACATCTCTATCGCATAACATAATACACAAGTGTGCGAATTCCATAAAGTCGCGCACGGCCAGACACGGGTCGGGTAAATATTAAACAATATCAAAATTCTTTTACATGTAAACGACAATTGGCATAGAAAATTGTATATTTATGTCAGCGCCGAGACAGGCTGCGGCAGTAGTACATCAACAGTGTGTGACAAGTGTGCGTGCTACGTGCAAATATACATCTATATATATATATATAGTTATATATATGTGTATATATATATTTATATATATATTTCTTACATATGTGTTTCACTATGCATGCTAATATACACATGTGCCTGCCTGTGTGAGAGTGTGACCTTCGCGCAATCATTTAGCTTGGCCGACTTTTGCCAATTATAAAGAAAGTAATAGAGCATCCTGGTCGTCAGCAGACCAGTCCATCGTCCATCGTCCGTCGTGACCACTGTGCAATGGTAGCACTGCCAGCTGCTCAATTGTTGGTTGCAGTTGCTGCCAAAGCACATTAAATGGCAGCACTCTGGCATTTGATTATGCTGCGACTTAATTAGATTCCGCAGCCACCTGAGAGAGCTTTTAGCAGGGCAGCAACGGCAGCAACGGCAGCAACAAGCGCATACACTAATGAACTCTACTTATGCTTTGCTTCTTTTTAGTTGACAACACCAACAACAACATCAATAACAGCCGCTCTGTGTTAATAGAAGACGCCACGTTCTTTCTTGTAAACAAGTCTAGTCAACAAACAGACCAAATGAGCGCACACTCCAGTTAAACCGAGCAGCACAAACCAAATAACCAAACACGACACACACACACGCACACATACACACCCACCCACACACTCGCACACATACACACAGAGATAGGTCATCAAGATGCGCGTGGTTGCAATGGTGAGTGGCGGCAAGGATAGCTGCTACAACATGATGCAGTGCGTCGCCGAGGGTCACGAAATAGTCGCACTTGCCAATTTGCATCCCAAGGATAGAGGTAAATGGAGAATCCCCTTCAAGTATATATCTTGCTTATAGTTAATTCCATTTCTGGCCACTCTAGATGAGCTGGACAGCTTTATGTATCAAACAGTTGGACACATGGGCATTGAGATACTCGCCAGTGCCATGGGTCTGCCTCTGTATAGGCGCGAGACCAAGGGCAAGAGCTTACAGACCGGCAAACAATATGTGCCCACCGATGATGATGAAGTCGAGGATCTCTACAGTTTGCTGGAAACGTGCAAGGTGAGGCCAAGCCACAAGGAAGATCAATATATTATTTATATAGATATATAACTGTGTATATTTGTGGAAAGATTGAGGTTAGAGATAAGCGATTATCGATGCAAATAGCTGACGAATGACGCTAATGATGACGCTCACCTTTATACCCTGTAGTGCAGTGTGCCAGAGGACGTATTGGCATAAGGAGCTACTAGGCTCAGCTAATATACTATATAGGAGAATGATTATGTAAGATAACAATATTCCGTAATTTCTCTTAAAGAAATCAAAGAATATTTCAAAAGGAATTCCAAAAATTCCACATTTCCATACCAGCTAAAGATTCTATAGAAAGATATACATATAGTATAGTATAGCTTATTACAGGGTATTGGCCGGTGCAGCTTGTCTGTGTGGCCCATGCAAACCTTTGTTGATTGTCTGTAAAAATGTCCTTGAACAAGTTTACGCCCCATCAAACAACTCGAATATAAATTATAATTGCGGAAATTAGTTACACAGTGGGCAAATCGTTTAATCTTATCAAAAATGCCGACAAGCACGTGAACTATGTAGGGCTAGAAGTATATATATATAAATATTGTATATATGTAAATTGATTAGAGCACTCGTTTGATGACAAAGTTCTTGAACTTTAAAGATGCGCCAACGCCAAATGATGCCATAACTAAGTAGGTCATAAATCGACTAACTACATATTTGATTCATGGCCCCAAATATTTGTAGTAAGTAAAAGCAGGCCTAAGTTGACTCTGCTCAAAGAGTGTTGCACTTTGAATTGTTTCCACTCGATTGGTTTAGGGTCATAACTCAGAGTCTGTTTGATATATTGGCCTCAAATTCGGTGTGGGACATTAATAATAATAATATATCAAGATAAATTGAATTGAAGCATATGAGCAAATAAAATATTCGACTATAGATTGTAGAGTAGAATGGAATGGGATAGAGTGGAATTCTTTGTTAGGTAGAAAAAGACAGAGAAAGCCTAGACACAATCTAGACACAATCTACATTCGGAATTGTATTAAAAACAAGAATGAACAATCGGCCATGACCGACTGCAAAATACCTATTCACAGCCCAAACTTATAGAGGATGTAAACAATGATTAAGTCATTTGTGTTTCTATCTCTAAAACTATCAAAAATACAGTGTTTACCGATTTACCACGTCCTAATGAACGTAGATAGATCCACTAAATATTTTTGTGCTTCCAAAAACTTTAGCACTTCAGCTAATATGGTTTCTGAGATACCAGAAACTGCACTTTCCGATTTGCCACGTCTGCAGTAGATGGATCGGTAATATCTTGATACTAGGGAGAGTATACAGTACATATACGTATGTATATCAACTTTGAAGTCTGGACAAGCAAGACGAACATTTCACAAAACCCATATACTCGTTTTACTTTCGTGAATGGGTATTCAAAAACATATTTTCCCTAGTTTATGTAATCACAAATTGAAAACTATTTAAAGTGCTACAATGAAATTTAGTATACGATATTCTGTTGGATTATATAACAAATATAAACTAGATTAGATAAGAGCTAAATCTATAAAATTACATAATATCTATACATGTATAGGATAATTTGTATTTGAAATAAGAAAAGAAAAGAAATGGATTCATTTGTACTATTACATGCATTACATTATGATAGCATCATCTATAAAAACTATTTATACATGTATATACAAACATATTCATTTATTTAGAGATTAGTTTTATTTAAAGACATTTCGTGTTGCGTTCTATTTGACAGCACGAACTAAACGTGGAGGCGGTTGCTGTTGGTGCCATACTGTCGGATTATCAGCGGGTGCGCGTGGAGAACGTCTGCAGCCGGCTGAACCTGATATCCCTGGCCTATTTGTGGAGGAGAGATCAGACTGAACTGCTGCAGGAGATGATTGACTGTCAGGTGCACGCCATTATCATCAAGGTAAACCGAATGATAATAATTCACCACACACCTACCTCTACATTTCTTTTTTATTTTTATTTTATTTAGGTGGCCGCATTGGGCCTGGTGCCGGATCGTCATTTGGGCAAATCGTTGCGCGAGATGCAAACGCATCTGCTGAAGATGCGCGACAAGTACGGATTGAATGTGTGCGGCGAGGGTGGGGAATATGAGACGTTCACGCTGGACTGTCCGCTGTTCAAGCAGCGCATCGTGGTCGAGGATATACAGACGATAATTAGCAGCGCGGATCCCATCTGTCCCGTTGGCTACATAAACTTCACGAAGCTATCGCTGCAGCCGAAGGAGCCAAATGCCGGCGGCGATGTGGTCTTTGTGAAGAAGTCCCTAGACTATATAACCGATCTCAATGAGTCCACGTACAGCGATCTGAGCGATCCGGACTTCAGTGAAACGGAACTGGAGCTGATTGAGAAGGAGACGCGTCTGCGCGAATCGCTCAGCCAGAACGAGCTGATATCGCGCAGCAATTCGTTCGGCCGGCACTTGGCCACATCATCGTCCTCGCCGATACCCATTGTAACGAAGAGCGCCAGCGTCGACGAGCCCATACCGACGGCCAGCTGCATAACGGGCAGCGCTTCGCTGCTGCTGCTCGGGAATGCGAATGCGAATGCGAATCAGTCGACCTCCGCATCCGCACTGGCATTGGGCGCGGCGGGCGGCGCATTGCAGGCGAACAGCTGCTGCGGCTTTGGCAGCTCTCATCCATTGGGTAGCAGCACGGCCGCCGTGTGCGGCTCGCTGTCGCTGGCCATCTCCTCGCTTGGGCTGAGCACCACGCAGTGCAACAATAATGCGGCGACGACGACGATGCCAACGGGTCTCACCCAGCCGCCCAGTCCCATGAAATACGAACGGGAATTTCGTCCACTGGCCAACCAGGCCAGGGCGGCCATCAATGCCAAGGGCTGGATGTGGCTGGCGGGCATACAGGGTAACCAGCAGCACTTACAGACACTAACCCATTATCGATACGCAATATCCAGATGGCAGTGTTACTCATGTTCGCTTGTCTCTCTCCCTCTCGTTGTCTCTCCTAGGCTGCGCCGCCAGCATGGAGCTGGGCATGCAACAGGCGTTGACTACGCTGCGCGATCTGTGCACCAGCAATGGCTACGAGCTGCAGGACCTGTGCTTCACCACGCTCTACGTGAGATCCATAGCCGAGTATCCCGCTCTCAATAGCATCTATTTGCAATCGTTTGGCTTTCACAATCCACCGACGCGAGTCTGTGTCGAGTGCCCGCTGCCGGATGATTGCCATGTGGTCATGGAGGCCATTGCGCACCGAGCGCCTGTCAACCACAGTGGCGACGATAGCGAGGAGACGCAGCTGCTGCTCAATGGCCGCCGCAATACGATGCATGTCCAGGGCATATCCCATTGGGCGCCAGCCAACATTGGACCCTACAGTCAGTCGACACGAGTGAGTGACACAAAGCGACAGACAGATAGATAGAGAGAGAGAGAGAGAGAGAGAGATAGAGTGAGAGAGACGAATTGGGTGTGAAACTAATTTCGGTTCGCTTTTGCAGATTGGCGACATCACCTACATCTCGGGTCAAATTGCCCTCGTCCCGGGCAGCATGACAATCATTGAGGGCGGCATTCGGCCCCAATGCAAACTCGCATTGCGTCACATCAGTCGAATCGCCAAGGCAATGAATGCCCAGGGCCAGCTGCGCGATGTCGTCCATGGCATTTGCTTTGTCACCCATCCCGCCTTCATTGGCGAGGCGCGACGCCAGTGGGAGCGACGCACCACGAATGCCATCATGGATTATATTGTGCTGCCGGCGCTGCCTCGCGAGGCCCTCGTCGAGTGGCAGGTGTGGGCGCACACCCACAATGATCGTTTCGACTGTAAGTGTCATAAACACGCTCTGAGCCATTGGTATTGAAATTTATATTGACCTTGAACTGGAAATGTAGTTTCTGTATTATAATAGATTGTATATATATGTAGTTATATATGTGCATAGAAATCAATCTTGTCACAGACACATCATGGGTATTGTAATATATATTGAGCTTGAGCATGGTACGAATCAGAAATATAAATTATATATATGTTAATAGATCATTTTTATTTATATAGAAACCAATCTTAGAGTTATGTCAAAGGCATTGCAATATCTATTAAGCTAGAACATAGAAATTTAGTCCCAGTTAGAAATGTAGATTATTTATAATGATAGATTATACGTATTATATGCGTGTATATGTAAACAAATTTTGTTAACGCCATATCATAGACATTCCCATATGTATTGAGCAGAGTCTGAACTAGAAATATAATGCATATTACAATAGATTACTTATATTGTAGAATATCATTGTTGCCTGGAAAATGTCATAGGCTTGTATTAAGCTAGAACATAGTCAGAAATTTAGTTTATTTATATGATAGTGGAATCTCATAGCCATATCATGGGCATTGCAATTTGTATTAGGCCTGAGCATAATGATAATTCATTATGCATATTATAAGTGAATATATAAACCAATCTAATTATAGCAATACCATGAGCATTAATACAATATGTTAAATATGTCCATAGAATATATACGGCTATTATTTATGTCTTCAATTGCAATGCGTTATAGTTGCTTATATTATATATTGTGTATATTTTATATTTATATACAAATTACTTCATGAGTAAGCAAGAAGGCAGATAGATTGATTTAGACTTTTACATATTATTGCAGAGCTAGAAATTTCTTTTAAATTAATGATAATAGATCTTATAAAAAACGACGTTTGAGGCAACTTGATTTATGCTTGAACCTAATCTTAATGAACTAGAAGTTTTCATAGCATTGATAACTGATTTGCGTATATATACATACACCTATCTTATCACATGGTCATAGCGTACAGTTCATTAAGCTTTTATTATATATAGATGAGTGATATGCATATTGTATATTATAAGCATGGTTCAGAGAGCTGATTTCAAGTTGCAGGAAACACACTTCAAGATTGTAAGATTTCAAGCCTCAATTGTTGTTTGCAAAATACAAAATTCCTATTCAATTGTCTTCGATTTACTCTTTCAGACGAGGAGACTGGCTGTTCGGTTAGCGATTACACCATCTCGATACGTCGTCGCTGGAACTACGAGAACAATTGTGCGGCCATTGTTTGCTATGTGGCAACTGGCTTGGCCTCATCCACCACGCAGTTGACGCAGCTGAGCGATGACGTGCTGGGCAATCATTGCCGGCTGGCCCAGAGCCTCAGTGCTGAGAATCTGGACGAGATACTCACCTATATTGTGAATCGGCTGCTGAAGGACTATCCGTTGGCCAAGCGACAACAGCAGCAGCAACAGCAACAGCAGCCATTGCAGCGTGAAGCTGAGGAGCAAACGGCGCCTAACACTGCCACGCCCACCGAGCCAATGTCACTGCCACAGCAGCCCGGCGGCGCTGGAGACCAACAGCAGGCAGCAACGGCAGCGGTGTCCACATTGCCAGCGATACACCTGAAGCTCTTCTATCAGGTGAACGCTGCCCCGCCCACGGATCTGCTGTTGCAGGCGTTGCACGACTTCCGCCACAAATGCCAAGAAATGGCTGCGATAGTGTATACGGTACTGCCGGCGTGCAGCCTACACAATTTCAGTACGTTCCTGTCCATATGCGGAGTGCGGCACGAGTGAAGAGGGCGTAAAGTGGAGAGTGATGCGAGAGTGGGAGGGAGATGAATGGAGAGCGAGAGAGATAGAGATAGTGGAAGTTTAATGCAAGCACGCACACACAGACACATACACGAACACATATATACACAAACACGCATATACACACACACACAGACACATTTAACACACTCACACAAACACAAAGAACGCTAAACTAAGAATGCAGGCGTAGGCACGCCCATTTGTTGATATTGTTAACTAGCCTGTATATCTTATAAACTATATATATATATATATTTACTACAACTATTTACAAATGCAAAGCCAGTCAATGAGAATCTAGTTATTTACCAATTATTTCGGACCAATAACTACCACAACAACAACAAGAACAACTGCAACAATTTTATGGCAACTTAAAGTGTTTCAAAACATTTAAAGAAAAAAACACCAAATCTTAAATTTAAACAATTTACCACAAGCAACTAAAAGGAAAAGTAAAAACGAAACTCGAATTAAAAATTTAAAGCTTGAAACAAGATAAAAAACAAAACAAAACATAATTTTTATGCACTGAACTTAAGCCCAAAATTTAAAACTGTAAAACGGTTAGTTGTTAACTTTTATCACTAACTGTACTCGTCTAACTGTTTTTTCGATGTGCTTTTCATGATTTGTTTTTTGTCTCTCTCTCTCTCTCCCTTTAATTTAACTCAACTTTTTGAATGAGATTAGCTCAGTTTTTTGACCAAAACTTAGCTTTTACAAAAAAAAAAAATAATAATAATAATAATAATAATATATGTATAAAAAGAAGAGGAAGAAGAAGAAATGAAAATGAAGAGAGAAGAAGAGAAACAGCAACAATTGTAATTTAAATATTTATATAGCGATATGCGCTAATTTGTTTTTTACTTTTAATTATTTTTGAAAATTTATTAATAATACCCCTATGCCATATAAGATTGTTTTTTAACTCATTTTTTAATGCAAACTATAAATAATGTCACAATTTTGCCTAGTTGCCTTTATATGTATATATATGTGTATGTATGTATGTATGTATGTATGTATAAAGATATCGCAAGCTAAATAGTCCATTGAGTCTGGCTTAGATTCGGCCAGATGATAAACCCAATCTCAGAAGCTTAGCGAACTTTTACCTCCCCCAGGCCCCTCCACCCTTCGTCCCATATAGTCAGTGTAAACAAATTGTTAATATTCACTTCAATTGACAAATAGCACGAAAAGTTGAAGTCAACTTTTAGTAAAACTCAATTGTATGTTGGACGATTATTAAATGCTATTATTGTTATGAACAAAAAATTATAAAAAAAAAAAACAAAAAAAAAAAAACAAAAACAAAATGGAAAAAAAGATATTGATATCGATTGTGTGTCATTAAAAATCATAAAACTAAATCAAACAAAATGTGGGCGTTTCTTTTCCTTATCTGCCGTCATGAAATTTCGAGATTCATCTCGATTGACGGTACTTTATAGTGTTTCATTCAGAATGCATGCGAGCATATGCTGGAAAGACCTGCGATTCAAACCATTGCGCCAGGTACACGTCACTGTTTGCCAAAAAAAGAAAAAAAAAACTGTATTTTCACCAGAGCAACATGAATTTTAAAATGCAGCTAGAGAAACAGAGAGTGAATGAGAGTGCGCGCTCTCTCAGTCGGCGTCATCAGCCTTGATAATGACGAAAATGTATTTGCAAGCACAACAAACAAAAAGAAAGCCAAGCAAAGCAGAGTAGAGCTTTTGACAACACATTCTCTCTTTTCAGCGTGGGCCAATCAGAGATTGCGGTCAGTCTAACGAAACACCAATCAGAATTGCACCAGACGCTGACGTGGTCGACACGTCAGAGCGTAAACAAAGCGGACAAATAAATAGCCCGGCGTTTCAGAGAGCAACCAACAGTTTCCAAACAGACAGCAAAGAAGTAACAAGTCGGTATATAGAAAAGCGAAATTCCGTTGGAATACAAAATACACTACGTACAAGCAACAATAAAAGGAATATACTTTTTTTTTTAAATATTCTTATATATAAACAAATTCTGTGACTGTGAAACCGTGTACAAAAGTAATTAATAATCGAAGCCAAAAAGAAAGACAAAGCATCAAAGTGACAAAATACTTATATTTAAATAAGTTAATTTTTTTTTATGAAGTGCTCAAAATTAGTTTAAGTTAGAAAAAGTAAGTATTTAAAAATCAGTTTGAAAACTAACAATCGATAACATTTCGAGTGCCTAGAACTTTGCAACTCTGCAGCAAAGTTAACACTGACGTGTCTCTGTACACCGTCGTATGTTTGTGTGTGTGCGTGTGCGACCGAATAGAAAGCGCCGGTCGAAAGCATTCAGCAATATTCTTTCAGTTCTGTTTCAAACGTCAAGAGAGAAAAGTTAAGAAAGAAAAAAGTAAGCTTTTAATAACTCAAGCTTCAAGTGGTAAATTAAATAAAATCTCATTAAGCATTCAGTTGAATTCAAGCCATCAAGATTTTTCCCACCGGACTCAGTAAAAATAATAAAAATGAAATTGAAAGGCATTGATATAGGAAAAGCTAATCCCCATGCGTAGGGTTGTTGCCGCAGTCGCCATGTTGGCAATGTGGCTCCAGAATTGTCTGATTTTAAGGAATAAAATTTGAGTGTACAGATGAAGCACATGTAGTGGGTGCAACGGCATGCGTGCCAGACAACATTTATTATAAATAATTTGTGTGTCTGAGTGTTTAACGACTTCACAATGAGTGAAGCCAACTCCCAGGCCTCTTGGCTCCCCTCGCATGACGTGTATCGCAAAGCACTGGCCGATGTCAAAGCGTGCATAATTAACATACATATGCTTATGGACCGTAGCAGAAATTAGCATAGCATCTCATTCATTAGCCAATTGGTAATAAAGTTCATTCACATTCGAACCGGCCGGCTGCAATATGTGTATTGCAGTATGCATATGTATGTAATATACGAATGTATATAAATACATACATGCGCATATGAGGAATATTTTCAATTTCTAGAACTTGGCCACACAGCTGTGAACTTCTTGCGTTGCCACCGTGCTGCATTATTATCTGACCGCTGCTTCCGTTGCTGACATGGCAGCACTTGATTTAAATCAATGCGATAACAAATAATTGCAATATCAAAATAATAACTCAATTTAAATACAAGCACACTAACACACACACAGGCACAAACAGACAGTATAGCACAGTATACATAGATATACGCCTGCGCTGACTGCGGTGGCTGCTGCTGCTGCCAGACGTCTCTACACTCTGGCAGCTCTGGCACTCATTCAATCGGCTTTGTACACGTCATTTCAAAAAAACAAAGATCCCAAGCTACATACGTTATTCAATTCCATAGCTGACAAAAGTACACGTCGTCAGAAAACATAAAGAGCGATTACTGACTTAGTTTATACGTAGTCTTTTCGGGCAATCACATAAAAACGTGAGTAAAGCGAACCAAACTAACACAGCTGTGCAAATTGATGGCGTTTGCTGCCGACAGAAGACGCCGACGTTCGTCCCAACTTTCACCGGACGAGGCGTGTGAGTGTGCCTGTGTATGCGTAAATTGTTTGGTCTGCCATACTATTGCAATTGGGCTTTCTTGTTTCTTTATTGGGCCACTTATTGCGTATGCAGAACGCGAGGAAGATGACAGAATAAGAAGTTTTTTGTAAAAATAATAGAGTTCAGCAAAAGCAAAACCAGTTTTATTTTTTTGTTTAGCTCGTGCACAGGCATATGAATGTAGCCGGCAAATGATTTTGAGCTTACCAAAAGAGCGAATGTTAGATAGATAGCGAGAGAGAGAGAGAGAAAGAGAGAGTGTGGGTTTGAGCTTATGGCGGCAGCAGAAAGAACCAGAAAAATGTTACCACGTATACAAAAATTCTACAGCGACGTTGGCAGAGGCGCGGCGTCGGTCAATGTCAGTGAGCCGCACCGAGCTGAGTTGAGCAGCACAGAGCGTAGCCGCGCCGGGGAGCATTAAGCAGTTGTTAAACGGTTATCTGGCGAGCCAGACGTATTGTGTTCACAGCTGCTATCTTCAGGTAGTTTTAAGTGCGCGTTGATTTGCCTGCATTTGAAGCATATATAAAATATTTTAGGGCTGCTGCCATAAATTCTTTTGGGCTGTCACTTCAATGACTGTCAAAAAGTAGCACACATAACGGTAGTACCTGTTGCCAACGTCAGCGTTTCTTTTGTTCTGCCTATGCGCTCTCTTTCACTTGACTCTCCCGCTTGACGCTTGTGTTGACGTGTACAAAAAAATATCTTAAGCTAAGCTTTTGTGTTCCCTTAATTAATCATAATTTTTTTTCTCTCAATCTCGTTGCAGTTATTTTTGTTTGGTGTCAAAGACAACATCAACGCTAGTTAATAATATTTAATAAAACACTAGAAGACAACTGCCACAATGAAGTTGTGCATATTACTGGCCGTTGTGGCCTTTGTTGGCCTCTCGCTCGGCGAGGAAAAGAAGGAGAAGGACAAGGAGCTAGGCACCGTTATTGGCATTGATCTGGGAACCACATACTCATGGTAAGTTTTGCGGCATCTCGCTTCGGGCGTTGCCAGACTGAAAGAGAATATGTTTTATTGGATTTCAATGATACAAAAGAATTAAAATACTATTGGAATTGCAAATCAACTGGAATAAAATTGACTTGTTTTCAAGAAGGTGCAATCCAATTGGATTCCAGCAGTTCAGATCCTGTTGGAATCGCATATCGTATTCTAATTGGGCTATGCAAATCTAATTCTTCCATATAACCTTACAATACTTCGAATGGACTCGATGTTAATGAAGCTTTTTTTCGTTTGCAGCGTTGGCGTTTACAAAAATGGACGCGTTGAGATTATTGCCAACGATCAGGGCAATCGCATCACGCCTTCCTACGTCGCCTTCACAGCTGATGGCGAGCGTCTGATCGGTGATGCCGCTAAGAATCAGTTGACCACAAATCCAGAGAACACCGTCTTCGATGCGAAGCGTTTGATCGGTCGCGAATGGTCGGACACAAATGTGCAGCACGATATCAAATTCTTCCCATTCAAGGTGGTCGAGAAGAACTCCAAGCCACACATTAGCGTTGACACATCCCAGGGCGCCAAGGTCTTTGCTCCCGAGGAAATCTCTGCCATGGTTCTTGGAAAAATGAAGGAGACAGCCGAAGCCTACCTGGGCAAGAAAGTCACCCACGCTGTCGTCACTGTACCCGCCTACTTCAACGATGCCCAGCGCCAGGCGACAAAGGATGCTGGCGTCATTGCCGGCCTGCAGGTGATGCGTATCATCAACGAGCCGACCGCAGCTGCTATTGCCTACGGCCTGGACAAGAAGGAGGGCGAGAAGAACGTGCTGGTCTTCGATCTGGGCGGCGGCACCTTCGATGTCTCCCTGCTGACCATTGACAACGGCGTCTTCGAGGTGGTGGCCACCAACGGCGACACTCACTTGGGCGGCGAGGACTTCGATCAGCGCGTCATGGATCACTTCATCAAGCTGTACAAGAAGAAGAAGGGCAAGGACATCCGCAAGGACAATCGTGCCGTCCAGAAGCTGCGTCGTGAGGTCGAGAAGGCTAAGCGTGCTCTCTCCGGCTCCCACCAAGTCCGCATTGAAATTGAATCCTTCTTCGAGGGTGATGACTTCTCCGAGACGCTGACCCGTGCCAAGTTCGAGGAGCTGAATCTGGATCTCTTCCGTTCGACACTGAAGCCCGTGCAGAAGGTGTTGGAGGATGCGGACATGAACAAGAAGGACGTGCACGAGATTGTGCTTGTTGGCGGCTCTACTCGCATCCCCAAGGTCCAGCAGCTCGTTAAGGACTTCTTTGGCGGCAAGGAACCATCCCGTGGCATCAACCCCGATGAAGCCGTTGCCTACGGTGCCGCCGTTCAGGCTGGCGTTCTCTCCGGCGAACAGGACACCGATGCCATCGTCTTGCTCGATGTCAATCCATTGACCATGGGTATTGAGACCGTTGGCGGCGTGATGACCAAGCTGATCCCTCGCAACACAGTCATCCCCACCAAGAAGTCGCAAGTGTTCTCCACGGCCTCCGACAACCAGCACACCGTTACCATCCAGGTGTACGAGGGCGAGCGTCCCATGACCAAGGACAACCATTTGCTGGGCAAATTCGATCTGACTGGCATTCCCCCAGCACCACGTGGCATTCCCCAGATCGAGGTTTCCTTCGAGATCGACGCCAACGGTATTCTGCAGGTGAGCGCTGAGGACAAGGGCACTGGCAACAAGGAGAAGATCGTGATCACCAACGACCAGAACCGCCTGACGCCCGAGGACATCGATCGCATGATCCACGATGCCGAGAAATTCGCCGATGAGGACAAGAAGCTGAAGGAGCGTGTCGAGTCGCGCAACGAGCTGGAATCGTATGCGTACAGCCTGAAGAACCAAATCGGCGACAAGGAGAAATTGGGCGCCAAGCTCAGCGAGGACGAGAAGACCAAGCTGGAGTCGGCCATCGATGAGTCGATCAAGTGGCTCGAACAGAACCCAGATGCCGATCCCGAGGAGTACAAGAAGCAGAAGAAGGATCTGGAGGCCATCGTGCAGCCGGTGATTGCCAAGCTCTACCAGGGCACAGGCGGTGCTCCCCCACCAGAGGGCGACTCTGGCGACGATCTCAAGGATGAGCTGTAAGGCGTCCTCGAGTCGAGCAACTTGTCCGGAATGGATAATATATAAATAGTTTTGGCAGTAGAAGTAAATCAGACTGATTAAACAATTAAAACGAAAACTTAATCGCAAGCAACAACACAGCAACCGCAACAACAATAACAACACGAGTGCAAACCCCAAAGCAACAAATGGAATAGAAGACGAAAATGGAGAAGAAAAATATGAAACTAGTTTTTACTCGCAATTTCTTAAACCTCACGCTAAATTCTTAGCAGCCCAAATTTTTTGTAGTTTTTTTTTTTTTTTTTCTTAAATTTTTATTGTGATCTTAAAGTATTCCTTTCGGCCCTGGCAAAGCACTTTAGCAGGAGAGCGAGTGAGAGACGTAGAGAAAGGGAAAAGAAACGAGAAACTGAGTTCATTTAGAAAAAGAAGACAGCGTGTTGTGTGTTCCTCCTCCAAAGCCCATGAATAAGGCCAATAACCGATAGTAAACAGTGAAAAGAAAAAAAATACAAACACACACACATATATATAACTGTATATTTTTTGATAATGAGGAATCACAAATCAATAGGTTAGCTTACGAGTTATAATCTTATTAAGAACTAAAAAAAAAAAAAAGAAGAAAAAACAATAAAAAAAATTAATACAAGTATGAGATAAAATGTTATATGTATAAGAGTGCGTGAGTAGAGCTAGAGGCAGATGGAGAGATGAAGAGTGGGACAGAGAGCGAGAGTGCTGCGGGGCAATTAGAAGAATATAAAGAGGATAAAAATGATTCATTGAAATTCAGGCAGAGCAAAAATAAATACCAGAAAACAAAAAACAAAATTAATAATAATAATGGATTCTTCGATTTTAAGAAGAACCTTATAATTTATTTAAAAATAAAAATAAAGACAAAAACTATATACAAACTTTTTCATTTCCACTTAGTCCACAGTAGACAGCCCAGCAAAGAGATCGTTTCATACAAACCGTTTTCTATCTTATCTGTAAAATGCGGAAAATTTCTCAATGTTATCTCAATAATTGTCGTTTGGTCTGTTTTGTTTTTAATATTATTTTATTTTCTGCTCTTGTTTTTGTTTGCGTATTTCATATTCCTTGCGCATTCAGATTTCAGTTTGTTCAGGCTTTACTTTCTTATAGTTTTCATTTATTTATTTACTTTTTTGGAGCACTTCGCATTGCACTTTTACCGATTCGCATATATATGTGTGTATATATATGTGTGTTTGTTTGTTTGTATACATGTACATATATTTAGTACGATTCAGTTTTCAGTTACTGCATTACGAGTAATCTTAATTATCTTAAATACATTAAAAAAATACATAAAATATTTGTTTTGTTTTAATTCTTTAAATTGTATATAAATAAGCTAACGGTATATTTATATTTTTGTTTTTATTGTGTACATATGTATTTCTCTATATACTTATATACGTATGCACTCTCAGATATCGAAATGCGAAACGACTTCGACTTTTCGACAGTTCGGCTCACTTAGTTGTTGTTGTTGCTGCTGTTGGGTTGTTACTGTAACGGTTCTGGCTCTGCGGTTCCCTTTTAGGCACATTTTCTAATGATTCTGCTCAAGCTAACAAGTTTTGAAATTAAATGAAAAAGTTTGGTGGCAACGCCACGTTGCCGGGCTGGCAGCACCTCGCGGCAAGGCCACTCGATAAATTATTGAAATGCTTAATAGATTTATCGATCAATCACATCAATTTGTCGCGCATCGCATAGCAAGCTGGCAACTCTCCTGTCATTCACATTTAACGCGAAGATCATTTAACAAGCGCATCAAACTGTTAACTTAACGACACAAACATGAGTAAACGGGCCTAACGTCTCAATTGCTAATTAATCTGTCATTTCGCTCTGCTAATAGGGGACTGCTTGTGTGTGTGTATGTGTGTACAGGTGGTAGGTAGATGGGATCAATTGGGCACTTGACTAAATATTTAAATCTATGCTAGAATTTAGCCGCTCACTTAGTAAATAAAATGCAAAGAATAAAATTGAATCGTATGCGCCCGATGCGTGCACCTCCCAGGGCTGCCAAAGCTGAGTTTTCATTTGCTTCTTTAAGTCGTTTGTCAGTGTGTGTTTGTTGTGTGTGTCCCAGTCTCTGGTGCGAGTGTGTGTGTGTTGTAGCTGCTTTTTTGACGTCGAAACTTCAGTTTTTCGCACAAGCCTCGGATTGTATAGTTGGTCCTTTTTTAGGGGGGGCGGGGCGGGGATGACATTCCTCAACGGCGTTGTTATGGCTGTTGTTTCTGCTTGTGTCTATATATATGTATATGTGTGTGTATTAGTGTATCTGTAGCTGTGTATGTGTTTGTGTAGGATTTTTTTTTTTGTAACGGCCGCTGCAGTGCTGCACTTTTAGATGCGCTTTGGAATCGTATCGATGGCATTGTTTTCAGGCTCTTCGTCCTTTGGCGGCTGACCGCGCTGCTGCTGCCGCCAATTTCAATACGAGTGAGAGAGAGCAAGCGAGTGCAATACGCGCGCGCGGCCCCCATTGGGTAAAGTTCGAAGTTCCGAGTTCAAATCGGTATATGCGAAGAGTTGCCAGAGTTTTGTCACCAATTTGCGCGCAACAAGAACAAAGATACAAAGAAAGACACAATGAAAGAGAGAAAAATAAAACGTAAAACGAAAGTAATCAAGAAAGCAGAAGAAATAAGAAGACTATGTATGTATGTACATATGTATATACATATCTATATATTACTATATCGAAATTGTGAATTGGGAGTAAAATAAATATCGTACATTATGTATGTACATATGTATTATGTATGTATGTGCATGAGAACGTAATTTGTTGTATTTGTCTTTCATACAATATGGGCCTTTTGCAGTCTTTTTGATTTTGTCTTTTCTTTTTTTCTGATTTCGTTTTAATGCCAATTCGCAATGAAATCATGAGGATCTTAAGGAACGGCATAACTTTATTGTGTAGGTGTGACTGTGTGTGTGTACATATGGTCGTCGACCTTACGTATTCAACTCAAACTGTACTACAGAAAGAAATGCATTTGGCTGCCCGTGTAAAATGTTTCACTCATTCTGTGTGTGTGTGTGCAGTGCAGTTCATAAGGAGCGTGTGTGCGTAAGTACGTATGACTCGGGTGAATGTGTGCGTGTGAGAGTGTGGGTGAGTGAGTGCGTGCTTGTGTTAAGTGATGTGTGCATTTACATACATACACATTTGTATTTAATGTAAGTAATGTCAACGCATTGTGTAACTTACAATAAAAAAGGCGATTTGTGCTTGATTTTATTAAATTTTCTTCGTTTTTTTTTTTTTTTTTTTTTTAGTTTTGTTTATCAAGATTATCTTTTACATTCGCAAACAAAATATTTAAAGAGCTTTCAATGAAAGAACAAAACAGTTGCAAAGTATATGTGTGCGCGTATATGTATATGTATGTAGAGAAAGCAAACAAAATGTAAGTTAAACCAATCTGTGAGACAAGCGCATGTAATAGCAGCTAGCTTTTGTCCGTTATTGGCACTTGCTTAGCCTGATGATTAATGTGAAATGGCATTAGTAGTAGCAGATCGTCATTTTGCTAGCAATATGAGTGATAAGAGCACAACAGCAATAATTGGCAAACTACTCAGCCTCTGCCTCGGCCTCGGGATCGGGGCGACTCAAGATCTCCTGACAGAGCGCAATGTAGTCCTAGATTTAGTTACGGTATATATATGTATATATATTTATACATATAAGATGTATAGCATAGCCAGAGAGGAGAGAGATAATTGATAAGAAATAAACAAAAAAGAAGTTTAATAGCAATATAAGCCCATTAAACACTGAACATTTATGTAGTCAAAACAGCGCGCACATCCAATCACATGAAACACAATGCGAATGAGAGTAAAGATTACATAACATACAATATGTAGTATTTCTATATACATGGTATATGTATACGCATTTGGCAAACAAAGAGTAAGCTATGATCGGTGATCGATGATCGTTGGTTGTGTGTGGCCTAGTCTGTACATTAACATATTACAGGGTATTTCGATTATAAAAATGATAGACTGCGAGAATTGTATTAAATATCAGTTTTGTTTTATTTTAGTTATTGTTATTATACTCCTCTTGTTCATTTCATTATTTTTTTTTTTTTCGTTTTTGTATGTATTTAAATTAATTGTAAACAATTTTTTTTTTTATGGTATGCACTCAACATTTTAACGTTCTTTACGCACTTGGCCTTTGTATCAATTTCTACATATACAACATATATATATGTATATATATTTTATTGCTAATTTACTTAAAAATGTCTTCTCAACTTCATTATTATTATTATTTTTTTTTTTCACTTTGTTTCTTCTTACTTGGGCATGTAAGTAAATCTCTTTAAAAACTGACAAAAGAAAGTATGAATAATAAACAATTTGCCACATATGTATTTCATTGGAAAAATATATATATATGTATATATAGATATATTTTTATATTGCAAAATAGGGTTTCATAGAATTTTTGCATCTAATCGAATAACAAACAAAAACCATTCAGCTTATAAACTCTTAGAAACTAATCATAAATGCAAAAAAAAAAAAAAAAAAAAAAATCAAATACACGCACACACAACTGAATACACTTGCAGAACCTAGGGTATCCTTCAAGTCGCGGCATACATATATATATATAAATCATGTGACTACTTTTGCTAAATAAATTTCTTGCTTAAACAGCTTGTCTACAATCGACACACATTAAAATAACATTCTGCAAGGGTATTCTAGTCAGCTAGCCGAACTTTAATTATCTTCCTTTCGTTTTCACTTTCTACTGACTGCTGGCTTAAGCTAAAGATGTGACCATTTTAATTTTTTTTATATATATAAATATATGTATATATTGTATATAATCTGTAACTATACTATATGTTTCCTTTTTTTTTTGTATTTTTATTTATTTTTTATAGGCGAAAATCAATATAAACAATTTGTGCGCTGTTATTGCTGCTATTGCTTTTGCAAATGATTTTATTCGGGGCAGAGGCGCGTCTGTATGTACATATGTATCTGTGTGTGTGTGTGTGTGTGTGTGTGTGTGTGTGGTGTGTGTGTGTGGTGTGTGT